ACTCTGTGCCTGCAGAAAGTGGAGTCTGGCTCTGACTCAGACTCCAAGGTGGACTCGGATTTGGAAATGGGAAATGCGACTGTGGACATGACCAAGTCAGACTCCAACTCCGATTCAGATTCAGATGTGTCTGTGAAGAAGGCTCCACGGGGCAGGAAGCCAGGTAACACCAGGGAAACATCTTCCACCACTGCTGCCTTCTTCAGGGGACTGGGGAGCGTGGGAGGTTGGGGGTTGCTGAGGCTCTGGGGTCTCCTTCTGTTGTGGACACCATCCAACCCACATCCAAACAACCCTCTGCCCCCCTGATGTGGGGCTGTTTTACCAGAGGGACAAGCAGGGCTCCTGCTGCACATATCCCCGTTGTCTTGCAGCTGAGAAACCCCCTCCCAAACCCCGTGGCAGGAAACCGAAGCCTGAGCGTGTCCCAACCAGCTCCAGCAGCGACAGGTGAGATCAACTGGGACACTGTCACCTTCAGGGTGGGGTTGGGCTGGAGGGTCACCCACCTCCCCTCTGCACATGGGGTCTAAGTGTCCTCTGTCCCTCGCAGTGACAGCGATAGCGACGTGGATCGCATCAGTGAGTGGAAGAGACGAGATGAAGAGCGACGACGGGAGCTGGAGGAGAAGAGGAAGAGGGAACAGGAGGAAGAGATCCGGCGACTCCGGGAGCAGGAGAAGGAGGAGAAGGAGAAGAGGAAGGAGAAGGTGGAGAAGAGTGAGGAGATGCACTCGGACTCAGACAGCAGCGCAGAGGATGAAGTGGCCAAAAAGGGACGGAAAGGTCGGGCCAAGGCCCCGTCCTCCTCGGACTCTGAACTGGAACTGGAGAAAGAGGTGAGTACAGAGCTGTGGGGAGCTGGGGACAGACAGACAGCCCATCCTCTCAGGTCAGGTCAGGTCAGCAGGGACCTTGAGGAGTGGCAGGGACCTGCTGTCCCGCGTGGCCCACGCAGCGCTGGGAAGGGTCATGTCCATAGGTACCTCTGTTCCTTGCAAGCAGGGGCTCTTCCCCTGGCCCAGGACCCCCATCCAGCTGTGGGTCTCGCATCTTCATGATGTTCTCCCTCCCACCACGGTCATCAGATTTGCTCTGCTGCTTTCCCCAGAGCCTGGGGAGCATCAGCCAGATCTGTCTGAAGCAGAGGGAAGGGTTGCAGGGGGCTCTTGGGCACCGTGCTGCTTGTGGGCAGAGGAGTGGTCCCACTTTCAGCCTGGTGAGTTCCTCCCTGTGGAGGGGGAACCAGGAAAGCTGCTCGAAGATCTTGAGGTCTGGAAGGACTCGGGGGTCTGCCAGTCAGGCTGGGTGGGCTGCTTTGGGTATGAGGATCATAGAATCATCAAATTGTTTTGGTTGGAAAAGAGCTGTAAGGTCACTGAGTCCAACCATTCACCTCACACAGCTGAGTGCACCACTAACCCATGTCCCTCAGCACTGTGTCTACACGACTCTTCAATCCCTCCAGGGATGGGGACTCCACCACTGCCCTGGGCAACCCCTTCCAATGCCTCAGAACCCTTTTGGTGAATAAATTTTTCCCTGATATCCAACCTAAACCTCCCCTGGAGCAATTTGAAGCCATTTCCTCTTGTCCTGTCCCTTGCTCCTTGGTTGAACAGACCCACCCCCACCTCTCTCCACCCTCCTTGCAGGGACTTGGACAGAGCCAGAAGGTCTCCCCTCAGCCTCCTTTTCTCCCTTCCAATGCCTCAGAACCCTTTTGGTGAATAAATTTTTCCCTGATATCCAACCTAAACCTCCCCTGGAGCAATTTGAAGCCATTTCCTCTTGTCCTGTCCCTTGCTCCTTGGTTGAACAGACCCACCCCCACCTCTCTCCACCCTCCTTGCAGGGACTTGGACAGAGCCAGAAGGTCTCCCCTCAGCCTCCTTTTCTCCAGGCTCAACACCCCCAGTTCCCTCAGCCACAAGGGAACTCAGCACACTTGTGCTCCAGACCCTTCCCCAGCTCCGTTGCCCTTCTCTGGACACGCTCCAGCACCTCCATGTCCTTCTTGGACTCAGGGGCCCAACACTGAACCCAGCACTCCAGCTGTGGCCTCACCAGTGCCCAGCACAGGGGGATGATTGCTGCCATGGAGGGAAGGATGTTTACTGTTGGAGCAGCACACACACGGCTCTGCTGTGACCTGAGTCCTTTTTTCTCGCGGGCAGGGGATGTCCCTGCACCCAAACCGACGTGCAGCCGTGGTGTGATGGGTGCTGGGTCGTGCCCAGCCAGGCCCGTGGTGCCGTCTCCCTCCTGCAGCAGGGAGGGCTCTGCCACTCTCGCCTGCATTGTTCTCTCCTCCAAGGTAAAGAAGCCAGCAAAGAAGCAGCCCTCAGAGTTGTCAAGGAAACCAAATCAGAAGGAGAAGAGGGGCCGAGCAGAGGAGAAACCACGGAACAAGTCAGCATCTTCCCTCCCTGCATCAATGTTTTCTTCCTCTGCTGCTGCCCAGCCCTCCCTGGCTGGCACCCTGGGGTGGGGACAGGGCTCCCCGTGGAGCAGCACCCATGGAGGGGCCGGGCTGTTTCCTCCCTTCCCATCTCCTAGAGCTGAAGGGACCGGAGGAGCTGTTGGGAGGAGCTCCAGGTTGAGCTTCCCTGGTGTTTTCCATCTCCCAAGGGAAGATCCTTGGGGGTATCACTTTGGGGCTCTGCCTTTCTGCAGTCCCGGGGAGCTGGGGCTTGGGGGAGCTGCTGTCTCAGGGTTCCCGTCTGTCTGGAGCTGGGAGCTGGGTGGGAAAGTGTGGGTGGAGCATGGCAGCGCTCTGCTGCCGGGCAGGCCAGGGGGGGATGGACGGATGGATGCATGGATGTGTGTCATCACCCTTCTTGTTAGCCCAGCAGCAAGCAGAGGGTTTCACCTGAACCATCCTACCTCTTGCCTTTTCCTCCCACAGACCTTTGAAAGTGGAACGAGGCCGAAAGAAATCTGACCTGATCCCTGAAAGGAGGATGGAGAAGAAAAAGGGTGAGAGCACCATTGTTGGCCATCACAAAGGGGAGGAGAGGGAGAGAAGGGGTTCAGGGCTGCTTCCCCCATCCCAAAGTAGGAGGTATCTGTCCCATGTGGCCTTTCCCAGTGCTGCTGTGGTCCCAGAATCATGCTGGGAAGTATTTACAGGGTGTGCAGAGACACTGAGCTTCATAAGGACATGGACCTACTGGAGTGAGTCCAGAGGATGATGCGAGGGCTGGAGCAGCTCTGCTGTGAGGACAGGCTGAGAGAGTTGGGGCTGTTCAGCCTGGAGAAGAGAAGGCTCCGGGGAGACCTTCTAGTGGCCTCCCAGTACCTGAAGGGGCTACAAGAAAGCTGGGGAGGGACTTTGGCCAAGGGCAGGGAGTGACAGAACAAGGGGTGATGGCTTGAAAGTGGCAGAGGGGAGATGGAGCTGAGATGTGAGGAAGAAATTGTTGGCTGTGAGGGTGGTGAGCCAGTGTCCCAGGTTGTCCAGAGAAGCTGTGGCTGCTCCTCCCTGGAAGTGTTGAAGGCCAGGCTGGATGAGGCTTTGAGCAACCTGGTCTAGTGGAAGGTGTCCCTGCTGCTGGCAGGGGGGTTGGGACTGGATGAGCTTGAAGGTCCCTTCCAACCCAAACCATTCTATGATTCAGTGATTCCCTACATACATCTGCTCCCAATCTTGGCCCATCCCAACCCATCCTCTTCAGAGAGGCCCCTGGGGCTGTGTTTGGCTTTGGAGATGCAGCAGGAAACCAAACCCTCACTGGAGGAGAGGTCCTGGGCTCTGGGCAGTGCTGTTCTCTCCTCTGGTGACCTGATGTCTTGACCTGTCTCTCTTGCTGCTCCAGAGCCCACAGTCGAAGAGAAACTTCAGAAACTTCACAGCGAGATCAAGTTTGCCCTGAAGGTGGATAACCCGGTGGGTGCCCAAGAGGTTGGCCTGGCCTGGCAGGTCCCTGCTTGTTGTGTCCTTGGCCACCACGTCAGCCTTGCCCAGCTATGACACCTGGGGGTGCTCAGCCTGTTGAGCCTCCTCTTGCCTTTTGGGGTGCTGGGTGGCATTAGGGGACCGTGCTCCACACAGCGCTGCTCTGGGTGCCCGCAGGGAGGTGGCAGAGGGAGTTTCCTCACTGTCCCTTGCCACCCCATCCTGTCCCCATGGCCTAGAGGTGGCTGTCCTCACACTGGGGTG